GTGGAGGAAGACGAGGGAGAGAAGGCTCAGCCTTTCTCCCTGGTACCTGTCACGGTAGCTATGGCGCTGAAAGGGCTGGCGCTGGTCCGCGGGCTGGGCTGGTGGCTGGCGCTGCTCCCAATGCTGCACTACTTCCTCTCTGCCGCGGAGCTCCTTCTGTCCTCGCTGCTCCTCGTAATGCGGCAGCGCGGCGCTAATCCTGCTAACGCCGAAATGCTGCACTAATCCTGAAGACTAACCTCCTGTCTACTAACCTACGGACTGAGGCTGGTACCCAGCCGATATAGTGCTGGGTCGGCCTCAGTCCGACTGAGGTCCTTTGGGTCTGGACCGTTGATCAGGCCCAACGGTTCAGATCCGATTTCGGAATCTGAAAATGGGCACCAAACTGCGCCGCCGGCTGGGCCTACCGATGAACCGGTACCTGGCCTAAACGAACTAGCTGTTGGGTCTGGTGGGGTCTAAACGAGGCCTACCGGACCCTAAACTGAACCGATGGGTCCTAGGCCTACCTGGACCTAAACTGGGCCCGTTGTGACCTGGTAACTAGGCCTGAACCGTGCCTGCTACCAAACTGGGCCCTAACTGGGGCCTGTGTGGTATCAATATGCCACAGAGGAGGAGGAGGAGGAGGAGGAAGAAGAAGCAGAAGAAGCAGAAGAAGAAGAAGAAGAAGAGAAGAAGAACGCAAGGAATATGAAGCAGCTTCGAAAAAAAAATAAAATTGACGGCTATGGCTAATGGAGGAGGAGAAGAAGAGGAGGAGGGGGAGGAGGAGGAGGAGGAGGAGGAGGAGGAGGAGGAGGAGGAGAAGAAGAAGAAGAAGAAGAAGAAGAAGAAGAAGAACGCAAAGGAGTTGAAGCAGCAATGAAAAAAAAATAAAAAAATTAAACTGCTATGGCTAATGGAGGAGGATGAGGAGAAGAAGAGGAGGAGGAGGAGGAGGAAGAAGAAGATGCCGAAGAAGAGGGAGGAGAAGAGGAGGCGGCGGCGGCGGAGGAGGAGGAGGAGGAGGAGAAGAACGCAAGCTGATGGCTAAGGGAGGAGGAGAAGAAGAAGAAGAAGAAGAAACAAACCTGGGGCCGTGATGGAGTGGCTCGTCGGCGGGGGGTGCGATGGCACGACTGGCTGGTGGAGGTGACAATGGCGCTGCTGCACCCTGCGGAGACCTACCGATGATGGCGCGGCTGGCTGGCGGTGGCGACGATGGCACGGCTGGCTGTCGGAGGCGGCGACGGAGTGGCTTCACAGAGTGGAGGCGAGCGGGGTTGAATGCGCGATGCATTTTCCCCTGCTGCGCGATTCCGTTTTCCGCCCGAACTGATTCAAAACAGTGGCCGAACTTCGCCGCTGATCTGCGACGATCGGCATCCAAGATTGACCACTTTTTGAACTTCAAAAGTCCAGGCCTACAGGACCCGGAAACGAAATTGCGGGGCAGGGCCTGCCCCCAGTAGGCGTCCGTAATACATACGCAACGCCAAAAAAAAATTCCGTCCCCAGCAAAAATGCGCTGGGGACGACCGGGAGGGAACTGGCCTGGGCCACCGGCCGGTCCAACCGGGAGGGCTGCGGATGGGGTAGGGGTCCCCGCTCCATCCGGGGACCATCCCTGCTGTGAGGTTGTTTCTCTTCCAGCTGCTGACATGTCCGTCGAGCATGTGAAATGATTTCTGGTTTGGGTGCTTCTGCCGTTCAGCTGTACAAATGTGAATATTTGCCTGCTGAAGCTGCGAGTATGGAAGCGAGCGATATCCCTAAACGTTCCATTATCGTCATGTTGGCCTATCAGACTGGAAGATCTGACTGCTGTGATAGGGAGTGGGGGAAGGTCAATCGTTCTGTGGGTGGGCAAATTGTGGCCTGCATGCAGATGAGGACTTGTCTGAGTTGATTTTGGAAATTGTTGTTTGGGAATTGAATAGTTAAGTTTGGGAATGGAAACCATAGGTTCAGCGAATAGTTTAGCTAGAAGATGACGGCCTAGGTTCACTGAATGAGCTTCTGTTTGTTGTTTCTGTTTTCATGTGAAATTGGGTTGGTATTTTTTCCCCTTGTGTGCCAATGCTCAGGTTTGGAAATTGTTGTTTGGGAATTGAATAGTTAAGTTTGGGAATGGAAACCATAGGTTCAGCGAATAGTTTAGCTAGAAGATGACGGCCTAGGTTCACTGAATGAGCTTCTGTTTGTTGTTTCTGTTTTCATGTGAAATTGGGTTGGTATTTTTTCCCCTTGTGTGCCAATGCTCAGGTTTTGGTTTGTTGTCGCCATCGTTGTCTACCCTCTGGGCGGGGTGTTGGGGTTGGGGCCTGGCAGTGTGGGCAAAGCTAAAAAGAAAGAAATCCGAAAGAAACCCGAAACAAATTCAGAAGAAGTCCAAAAGAAATCCAAAAGAAACAAGGTGCGGGTGACTCGGTGGCGGGGCGACCCTGGCCCGAGGCAGTAGCAGGGGCAGAGGCAGTGGTGGCGGGGATGGTTGCCGGGACAGTGGTTGTGGAGGTAGCGGGGCTTGGTTAAGGGTGCGGCATGATAAATGGTAGGGGTAGTGGCAAGGGTGGTGGGACGGTGGGGGGAAGGGCTGCGAGGGCGACAGGTGGAGGTGGCATTCGCGGGGGTGGTAGCTGTAGAGGGCTCTGCAGATCGGAGATTGACAGTCCCCCCCCACTTCACACCCGGGTTTCCTCTGTGTTTTTCCGGCCTTCTGGCCGCTTCCCCGAAACCAACCTCCATCCATCTTCTGCAATCCTACCCCCTTCTGGAGGTCCTCTACCCCTACCCGGGGACGGCTGGGGCTGACCCCATTCCTGCATTTGTGTGGGGGTCCCCAGATGACAACCTTGGTTGTGACAATTGTGTTCCCTTTCCTCTGGCGCTTGTTATGTGTCAGGAATGAGCCCCTAACAGCCGGGGCAATATCACATGAGGGATCACTTCTGGCGGTTTCTGCTTCAAGTGCGATTACTCTCTGGAATATGGAAGCCCATACCATGCTCTGTGCTTTGCCATTGTTCCCAATGAAATCAGTGAGTACGTGGGAGCTTTCAACTGCGTTTTTCTACTCTGTAACTGCTGTCTTTTGATTCTTGTCTTGCTCTCATTATGGTTTACTGCTTCTTCTGCTCTCATTTCTGTGGCATGCTATGCTAGAAGGTAAATCCAACAGAGGGAAAAGATAAAGATCTATGATCCTAGTGCGGCAGACCTGAGAGGAAAGGGTATAGTACGGCAAGCTGACAATCAATCCTCCATATGGATGGAGCAATTATGGACTACTATCATGCCTCTCCCAGATCATTCCCCCTGGCCCTCCACACATCCTGAATGAAGTCCATGTCCAACCGGTACCGCAATAGAGGCCTCCCAGACGCCGTGCCACCTAGCTCATGGGGCTGAATGGAGTCCAACAGGAACCAGTACCCCAACGGGTACTCTGACAGGGGCCTTCTAGTTGCAGCCCCGACGGCTACACTAACCGGGGCCGTTCCGATGCCGTGCCAATCACAACTCCTTTTGTTTGCCGGGTGGACGGGTGGTTTGATTCACAAGATTTAGAGATTCAGAATATTATCGTAGAGTTGAAACTGGGTTGGAAGCACCATCCCATGTGGCCGAATGGTACACACATGTAACTGTTAGTAAAGAGAGCACGAGTTTGAATTCTGATGGAATGAATTGAGCACAACAAAGATAAGGGCCACCCATTTTTTTCTCCTTTTGAAGAAACATGTTTGAAAGATCAAGCAGTTAACAAACACATTCGATGGGCTATGGTCGTCAGACTTGACCGCTTTCCTTAGAGTTGTCAACAACTCTTGGCGATGCTGTGAGTCCGGACTGCTGATCCATCAGTTAAATGCATCCTGGGCAGAGTGTTGGGGCTCAACCTCCTCATGGGTCGGTGAAAGTCTGATAAAACAGCTCGTCACAGTCATGCTTTTTTTGTCGTGTTGTGTATAGTGAACATGACCACACACACGCACAAACAGTCTGGCACAGTCATGCTTTTGTTGTGGGGAGAGAGAGAGAGAGAGAGAGAGAGAGAGAGAGAGAGAGAGAGAGAGAGAGAGAGAGAGAGAGAGAGAGAGAGAGAGAGAGAGATTGGAACGATACCATGGTTCTGGAGGTTAGTGGTAGAGTTTTTGTTTCCTGTTTCTCCACTCCCTGATTAGTTCATATTGTAGAGGCCGAGATGAGACAGAAAAAGGGCCCGTGGGTTGGTTGCTGTGTGCATCTTCAACCAACCGGTCGCCCGGTTAGTTAAAGATGCTGGATGCCCAGTAGAGATGCTGAGGCCCAGGGCCTCCACAGTTGAGCCCCAGGCACATTCTGGAAGGGCCCTCGGTGCAGCTTCTGGGAAAGAGGTCGCCCTGCCAAAGCCTGTCTCGCCCAGCTTGCACGAACAAGAGGAAGTGTGCCTTTCCCACTTTGGACATTATGGCTGGCTGGACGGCGGCAGCACTGCTGGAGTGCTGGGTTGTTGGACGAGAGTGGGCAGGGTGGAAGAAGTGCACTGGCGGGGCACGAGGAAGAAGCTGCAGGGAGCTGCAGGAGGGCGCAGCGGCCATAGCCGGGCTGCTGCCCCTGTAGCCAAAGGAGGTCGAACGGAGGTCCTTGGGCGAGGGGCTGTGCGAGGGAAGCTGAGCTGTAGGCGATGAGAGGAGGCTCTTACCTGGTGTTGAGCAGCAGGAAGCTTCACGCGGAATCTTCGTCTGTCATTGGGCTGCCGCTCTTCATGCCTGAACTGTTGTAGATGGAGGTCTAGGTCGATAGGAGTCATCTGACTGTAGTCTGGGCGCCGAGCGCTGTGAAGGAGAGCGACGTTGTGGACATTTTCGTTATCATTTGACTTCAGTGCTTTGCTCTTGCATACCCGCAATTTGGTCGCGGAGCGCCGTGAAGAAGAGCGATGTTTGGTGTTATCTCGTGGTGCAATCTGCTTTCAGTTCGGAGTTCGGACTCGGAAGTTATCTGAATTTCTATGCAATGCTGCAATTTGGTCTATTCAACTTTTTTGTCGTTCGCATTGCTCATTTTCCTCGTACTTTTCTGCGGCCAAAATAAATTCTAAAATTTTTGGTAATGATCCTCTCATCTTGTCTGATGTCCTGTCATGGGTGTGTGGTCTTCTCCCAACCCCTGGGATTGTTCCCATGCTTTTGTGATCTGCAGGTCGTCACAAGGTTGACCTTCATTCATGACACACCATTTTTGGTTTCAGGAACGGATGATGCAGGGTTGCCTGCTCTTTGTGTATGGAACATGCTCACTCTTGCGATCAGCTGGTCCTACCGCGTGAGGATTGAAGGTATGTAATGCTGGAGGCTATTCGAACCTGGAGTGCACTCCTGACTGTTGCCAGTGACCTGTCTGCTAAAGCCCAGTTGTGCCGATGGTATGCCCTTGCTGACTGGGACCTGCTGGGAGAGATTTGTGAGGGACAGGTCGGCTGACTGGTAATATCCACAAAAGGACTAGGAAAGAGATTTTCAAAACGCCTTTTCCATTCTGCGTAGCATCGTGTCACTGAACGCGAACGAGGGCCAAAAGTTCCCAAAACCCTTCGAACGCGAACATGGAAAAAAAAAAAAGTTATCAGAAAAATCTGGGAAAAAATATAGGTTATGAACGTTATGTATAATAATAATAAAAACAACTTTTGCCTGGGAGGCATGTTCAAATTCTTGGGAGGCATATTCAAATAATCCAGCGGTCTAGCTCAGTTGGTAAGGCACGCAAGTGGCATTGAGGAGGCCTTGGGTTCAATTCCCATTGGCCTCATGTGCCTTCCTGGGCAAGCTTGGTGCCCGCCACCTAGAGATAGGTCGTTGGTCCCCCCGAGGGGCATTTAGCAGAGACTGCTGATGTTCATAGGGGGAGGGGATAAGAGGGAGGGGATAGGAGGGAGGCACAGTGACTGTCCCATCGAAGAAGCTCGGTCCTGATGCTACCGGCTGACCCCTGGCCGGTGTCGCCCACCTGCTGGTGTCGTTGGAGGCTTGAGCACGGATGTGGCTGCTATGGGGTTCCCCGTAATACTATAATGACAATAAAAAAGGCCTGATAGGCCGTCGTGTCCAGATTTGACAGGTAATTGAATTGGTTGTGCTTAAAATAATTTGCAAGGAAAATAAGCAGCAGCGAGATGACAATCCCAGATCACACCATCACATTGCAAGTCAAATAGTCACACCGTGTCCAGATAGCAGCATTGCACCAATAATACACCAATGGAGTTTCGTAGCACTGAAAACCAATGTCCGTGGAGAGCACACTCTCTCCTCTCAACACAAAAGTCCAGTTTCCTTACACTCACACTTGGCGCTCAGCGCCCAGCCTACTCCTACACAGCTACTACAGACTACAAGAAGACAATGCGTTGACATCAGCAGCAGCCCGAAGTACTTGAAGATGCCGCCCATGCAGACCATCGCCAATACAAGGTACGTGCCCTCACATCATCATCCTTCACCTATCCCCTGACTTCACTCACACCTGTCCTCTCTGTCACCCGAAGACCACCCCTGCGCTTCACTGTAGTCCAAGCCCACCAGCTATGGTGGCTGGGCTATGGCGCTGCCCTCAGCAGCGCCCTCCTCCTCTGCACGACCGCACGTGCTGCACCTTGCCTCTCCGCACTAGCAGCAGCCTACGAGCATAAGCTCCAGCAGCGCTGCCGCCCAGCATGCGAGTGCCTGAATGAGGCTGCCTGGCCAGGGCTCTTTCCTTTATGGAAAAGAGCTGGCCAGCTCTCGCAGCCTGGCTGGGGTGGCCTGGGCCCAGAAGCTTCCGGAAGGCCCCAGGATGCTGCCTGGATGCAGCAGCTACTGGGCTGCTGGGCCTCATTCGGTTGGGCGCCCAACTGTCTCTGTATGAGGCTGCGAATCACGCCCAGGGCCTGCATTCTTTGGAAAGGCCCGGTAGGCCGTGGAAATGTCTTCGGTACTTGGCCTGTGTTTCTTTCAACCAACTGGCGCGTCGCAACTGCCTGGACCCCAGATATGAAATTGACAGTAGAGGGCCTCTTGCAAAAAGCCAGGCCCGCCTTCACTTAGGGCGGGCACCTCCGCCTTCACTTAGGGCGGGTAAGGCTGCAGGCAGGGCCCCGTAGGCCTACCGAGGATACTGATCCTCGCAAATTCGCCTTTATTTAAAGAGGGGAAAAAAAAATCTTAGCCAAACTCGAGTTAAAAATCAAAAACCTATATCTTCAGTAATCTGTAAACCAACAAAATATTTTCCGTTATAAACTTGTGCATAGTAACCGACAAATTTATATAAAATAGTCACAGCCCCTCGTTTGTTGTCCTCTTCTCTCTCTCTGCCTACGGTTTGCCGGGCAGTTCTGTTTGTGACGATATATATATTTTAATAATAATAAAAAAATGTTTGACCGAACACGTTAGGGAGGCATTCGGCCGAACACCCAAACGTGTTCACGCGTTCGTGAAAGCCCCGAACACGTTCGGTGTGCTACACGTTCGGTGTGCTACAAAGTCGAAAGCACAATTACAAGCCAATAGCACAGATAATGAAAACACACTGAACACTGAAGTCTCTTGAGAATAAAATCCCCAACTTATCGCCTCCAATAATCAATACAACAACAATGTGGCCGCTCTAGGATGAAGTGACCGCCTATACTGCTCTCCTACAGTCCTACTCTCTCACTATACATCTCCTACTTCTATCACTCACGCTCTCTCTCTGTCCACTATCCTCTCGCTCAGCAATGCTGAGACTGGCCACCATAAATGTGTTTCTTGGCAAATGACCAGGCAAGTTCAACCAGTCCCCACCACTGTCGTTCTCCCCGATCTCCCAGTCACAGCGCCGCCCTTCTTCCTCTCCCAGCGAATCTACGACTGCGGCTGGGCGGAGCATCTTATCGTCTCTGCTCCTCATGTCCTTCCTTTGAGCAAGTGGTCACTGGCATGCTGTGCCCTCAGCAGTGGTAGCGCTCACAGCCAGCATCGGAGAACGTTTGGAATGTCATGGCCTCCTTCCTTGTGTTTCTTTCTTGAGGTTGTGCGCAGGGCGACTGAGAACCAACTGGGTCCAGGCCTGGGTCCCGTACTCTGCAGCGAACTCAGAGGTTGGGCCTACTGGTTAGTTGGTGGCACTGCGGTACAGCCTTCCGTTCCAACTGTATCATGCCGGCCTTCACTTCGGGCTGACACACTTCTTTTGTTACGGCCTTCACTTGGGGGTGGGCATGCTTTCTGTAGGCGGCCCCTTTTTGGGCTCGCTGAGTCCTGAAACCTTGCATGTGGCCTGATGAACCACGGATCAGATATTAAGCAGACACACTTGGCCTTTGCCCAAAGGCCAATTCAGGGTCACATTCAACTCATTTAAAGGCCAAACTGCACACTTACCAAATGTCGAAACGGAAGAATGAATCTTCCCTTGCAACATGGCAAGGCACAGCCAACATAGTTTTTGTCTTTCACGTTTGGTGAGTGAAGTGGCGAGGCCCTTAGAATTCGAACTCGGTTCTACTCATCAACAGTTCATGGGTGTCTCATTCACTCACACATGTGCAAGGTTCCGTTTCTGCTTTTCCATTGGTTTCACTCCGTTTTTGTTCACGTCGGTATCTTTTTTAAGTGTTTCTCTTCCGTGTGTTCGATTGTTACTGCGTCGGTGTCCTTGTTTGCGCATTGGTGTCTTCCAGTCACTGCCATGCGAGTTTGTCGTCACTTCTGTGTTATTTTCTGGCCGCTGCAAGAGAGAGAGAGAGAGAGAGAGAGAGATGCATTATTATTGGTGTGGTGTCAGAAGCGGACCCTCACATTTTTCGTTTCATGTCCTCTTTTATCTGTTTTAGCGTGGTTCCTTCTCTTGCCCAGAAAAAAAAATGTCAGCGCTGTGTGTGGGTTTAGAGGTTATACGCTTAAGAAACAAAAAGAGAAATTCAGGTCGTGCGAGCAGCCACCCGTGCACAGAGAATTTGCAGGTGTATGTGCAAGAACGTCTCGTCTGTGGCATGCAGCGCCTGCTGCCATAGATGCAGCAACAGCTGCAGTGGGTGCAGCAGGTGCAGTACCTGTTGGATGTGCAGTATGTGCAGCGTCTGTGCAATCTTCAGCAGCAGATGCAGCAGTTGCAGTAGCAGCTGCATCTGCAGCATCTGCAGAATCTGCTGCAGCAGGTGCAGTAGCAGCTGCAGCTGCAGCATCTGCGCAATCTGCTGCGGCAGATGCACCAGGTGCAGTAGCAGCTGCATCTGCTTCAAGATCTGGACCCAATGTGGGCCGTTGATATCACAGATCTGACGGCCCAGATTGACCCCATTTTTTTTTTCCGGTTTTGAGGCGCTACCGGCCTCAAAATAAATGTGTCTCACGGGCCTGGTCCTCCACCCTGTGACCTCCCGAACACGTCCAGGCCCCGATACTGCCAAAAAACGGGCTCGCCTTTGCTTTCTCAGGGGGAGGACGAGTTGCGAGTTGTTCGGGACGTCCGGACAACCAGGGGTGTCCCGGACATCTCTCGAGTTGTCCGACCGGACAACTCGGACAACCAGGGGGGTCCAGGAGTGTGGCCTTTCTGACGACATCGTATGCAATTTGCTTATGCATTTTGCCCCTCTACAGCGCCTCTGATATGGTATGCCCATGGTTTATTCGCTGGTGCTGGCAAATATGCTTGTGCTGGACCTTTAGTCGTAACTGCGGAGATGATCGTCATGTCAACCCTTTTACCTGCCCTTTATAGCGGTCCACCTGTGCGAGCTTTGCACCTTCCCCATAGGGCCACTCTTCCTGCCATATGGCCGCTATAGACATGTAGCAAGCGACCTCCTAGAGTCCCCTTTGTGCTACAGCCGTGCCATTGCCTGGTTTGTCCTGAACAATGGTTCCAAACCAAAGGCCTTTGGAGAGGGCAAAGCAAGGTTGTGGAAAATAGGATAAGCATCTCTCTCTCTCTCTCTCTCTCTCTCTCTCTCTCTCTCTCTCTCTCTCTCTCTCTCTCTCTCTC